ATGACATGGCCTTTCACCCATGACCCATCTTGAAAGGATTAACATGTGTAGAGTTTGGAGCTTTGTTCAAGGCTTTTAGCATGTGCAAAGAATCTTTCCACCAGCTTGAGGTAATATGTATTAGTCGTACAGAGAAGTTTCTATCTGAAATATATTTTCAGTAGGGAAAATGTTGACAGTATTTATGTATGGGTGCGTGTGTGTGTATATATATCTTACATGTACATGTCTTTATCTTTTTTTTTATCTACGGCTGTTTATTCTGTTTTATATTAACTTGTGTATTAGATAAGTGCACACTAATTCTGGAATCTCGTATTAAATCTTTACCTTCAGGATTCATGGCAACAGATACGAGTTAATTGTGTTAAGTGCTTCATATTACAGTTTACAGTTGCTTAGTTACAGGATTGAGTCATTTTTTGAATTAATAGGATGTGTTAAATTTGCAACTTTTATTATCAGAACTTTTTGGACAAATTGATAGTTAAGTTACAGTAATATAGGATTAAGATTTTAGTTGCATTAAACATTAAATATTATAGACATTGTCATGATTTCTAATCCTAGCTACCAAAAAAACAAAAATAAATTGAAATAAAAATTAGGAAATTCTCTTAAAAATATAAATTTAACTGTTTTCTCATATTTAAGCAAGTGTTAATCAAAACTGCCCAAATATGTATACATGTTGTCAAGAGTATATTTTGGTGTTTATAATTTCTACTTGCATTGCTTTAGACATTGTACTAATTTAATGAAAAGACTTACTGTACTTTTAAGTACAGTTTAAACTTAACGTTAATTTTCATTACAGGTTAAAACACATGATGCAGAAGGGTCCAGAGTTCGATATTTTGCTGATGATGACAAATTTTCACTTCAACAGTTGGTAAGTAGCTTCAAAAGAAAAATAATTAATATTATCATAATACAATGTATAAATTTGTTATCATAATACAATGTGTAAATCATTTTACTGGATGTGATGTAATGATACATTAATGTTTATGAAGTGGACATCCTTTTGAAAGCTAGCTAGACTTAAATACCTCTGTATATCAGCTCTTTATGTTCTTACGTGAAATGTTTTTACTTTTTTATGGCTAATTATGTATATAGAAAATTACTACTTTTGTATTCAATGAATAACAGCTAGAATGTTGACATATATAATGCATGTTTATATAGTTTAGTGTGCAGAAGTAATTTATCCCATGTTATAAATGTTGACTTTCTAACAACATAAGTTTCCACATTCTTTTGTCTGGTGGTATTTAAGACACAATTCTGAATGCTTCATTGTATACCTTCTGCAAAGGAATTCTGTGTTGATGAAGAAAACAATTAAAATACAAGAAAAACATACATTTTTAGAGAAGTGGAGAACTGCTCTCTTCAAAAGTTGGTTTCTCCAAGAACTGAACTGCAGTACTCTTGTACATTCCTGTCATTTCAAGTTATCTGACAGTATGGTTAAAAAATACATTAAAAGTTAAGAGAGAGAGAGAGAGCTTGGATATTTTTCTGCTTTTATTATTGTAGTTTGGTCCATTCTTTATTCTGTATTATCAGTTTTTTGTAATTGATCAAACTTCTTCAAACACAGAAGTACAAGGCTAATGATAAACAACACAGAAACATTTAACCCAAGAAATACCAGTGAGGTGTAGACTCAGTCAGCTTTTTAGACACATTTTTATAAAGTATTTTTAAACCAAATTGCTCATGGGTCCATAATATTATTGGATATAGGTCTTCTGTGAGTCACACAAAAGACTTTGGCAAAAATCCCATCAACATTATAAATAATTCCACTAATTAATACTAAAGCCTTATTTATTTTGCATAAAATATGAGTGATTTCACCCAGGTTTTTTGCTCTTTTATTTTACATTGAATATCAACACGTCTCCTAATATTTGTGTAAAACAGGTTTTTTTGTTTATGGTTCTATCTCTTTATCATCTGATCTCATATGTGTTTTTATGATTTACCAATTCAATGCTCATTACTCTTGTTTGTTAGTGACTTCAATGGTTTCAATAGAGTTTTGCACTTCTTCATGTCATGTTTATATACTGCAGAATTGATTTTTTTTTTACAGTTTGGATGCCTGGTATATACTTTTCTCTTAGAGATTATACTTTTCTTTTTTGTGATACTCAGTTTCTTTGTAGGCTGTTAGATAAAACAGTTTTACTAGTTGGTCCAAGTATCTAACTTTTGACTTTGTGTGATTGCATATTCTCTTTTCTATATCAACTCCATTTTCGGTATGTTCTAGCCATATCCTTGTTAGTTTAAGTAATTTCCTTGTTGTTTTCCTTTTTATAATGTAAGTCATTTGTGGGCAACTTGTAGTTATGGATCCATTTGACCACATCTTGGAAATTGGTTTTCAGCATTTTAATCAAGCTTGGCAGGTTTCTGTTGTATAACGTCTGAATCTTTTACTGTTATACGAGACAAAAAATGATGACTTTTATGATGGTTCAGATAGAAAGGTTGAATAACATTCTAGGGAGCATAATTTGCAGCTGTGTTTAATTTTAAATAAAACTGAAATACTCAAAAATAAATCATTTAATTTTTGATGATGTTTTAATTACAATTATAACATTATTATTGGTGTGTTCAGAATTAGTTGACTGTAAAACATAAAATTTGCTTGCAAAATATTTATATAGCTTTTTAAAAAGCCTAGGGCCCTGTTCTCATGCTTTTTATTCTTTAAGAAATTGAAGTTTTATTAGAAACAGCATGTAGTTTATTTTATTTCTAGATGGTAGCAAATGTTTTAGCTATTTCATCAAATGGTTTTAATGTTAAAAATATTATATTAAGATATTTATTTGAAGAAATTTGATATTATTTTAATTAGCTTTATACTATTTTAGTTTGAAAAAGAAAAGGGAACTACAGCAGATGATCAGAATGCTGATTTTGCTAATATTGCTGGAAAGGTAAGTAATCAAATAAAAAGAAAAATTATACAGATTTATGAAAAGCTTTACAACAAGGTTAGTGATCTGTTTGTCTGATGTTCTAAAAAAATTATAAAATTTATTCAAAGATTTTAAAGTGTAAGTGCACCATCTTTAAATCAGTATTGAGTTAGGATATTTATATAAAAAATTGTCTAAATACAAGCCATTTTACAATTTAAATCTTACAAGTCAAAAAATTCTCTGAGTGGCATCTTTGTTTATGGGTAGTTTTAAATAAATGGTACATATTTGATAAGATTTTCTTCACTGTATAGTTTTTTCTATTTAATCATATGCCTTCAATCTATTACAATAGTTCATCATCAGATGAGAGACTAGACTTAACTGTTTTGAAAAGGAATTGTTCACATTGATTTGAATATTAATAAACACTGCACATTTATTAAAGGATACTACTACAATAATATTGTTATTCAAATCAATTCAAACTATTCCATTTTTGATCAGTTAATCCTAGGCCCTATTTCTGATACTTCTTATTCTTTAAATAATTGAAGTATAATTAAATACAGCATGTAATTTATTTTACTTCCGGATGATAGCAAATATATTAACCATTTCATCAATGGCTTTAATGTTAAAAATATCATCTGAGAATATTTATTGGACTAGACATGTATTTTTTTTTTTTTTTTCTATTATCTAACCTGATAATTTTCTAATCTTTACATTTTAATTACTGTTATAACAAGAAATATACCTGTTGATGAGTCTTAATAAGAGCATGAAAGCATATATTTAAATAAAATATCTTATTACATAGTGAAAAAAGGTGGTAAAATCTTTGTCATTTATTTACAAACCAATCTAAACTCTAATATTGTTCCTTTGCCAGTCAACTTTAGTAGAATTGGGCTCATAAATGTTTGATAAACTTAGTTTATATGTTATTTAAGATTTTTTTATTCTTATGTCATTTCAAGCAAATGAACATATTATAAATTGGAGGTTGACATGTGAACAACCAAACTGAATGTTATTAGCTCTCTCAACACATGCTCTGTCATTTTGACCAACCTTGTAACCACTAGGTAACCATGAATGTATTTATACTATAACTTTTAACTCTCTCAACATGTGCTCAGTCAATTTGACCGACCGTGTGACCTCTTTGTACTCGTCTAAAGTCTTTATAGATTTAACACTTCTAACTTTCAGTGTAGTGTGTATATCTTCACAATACTTGGCAATCTCTCAGTTAACATTATAAGTCTTTCACATACAAAAATCATATTTTTAGTGAAGTATTTTTAATAAGCTAAAAAAAAAAAGATTTATCCGTGAATATATCAAGTTTTTTTTTACTAGTTTGCGTAAAAAGTAATTTTAATTTTAAGATTAAAAATACTTTTCTTCATCTTAAAAATCTCAAATTTTATTTGTGTAACCTCTAAAAAGCTCCTAAGTACATTTCAAATGTTTGTTTTCAGTAAAACTTTATATTTTATCTGTTATATTCTCTACCCTAACTCTATATAAGGTTGGTCAAAATGACCAACCTCATAAACACCAAAAAAAAAAAAAAATTGAAATAAATCCAAGTTATCCCTTTTTTTCTTTCTAGAATGACTTCCAATTGTAACATGAAACAACATTCGTTTATCCTTAGTAGCTTTAAACTTGTAACAATATACATCTATTTATACTTAAATTTTATTGTTTTATTGCCCTTTGAACTGTGTCTAATTACTATCCATGCCATTATAAGTTGTAGATCACTCAGGGAATGTGCAACACACTTTACGCTATCGAGTTACATTACCCATGAGCTACTAAGAGTTGCTCATGTGCATACCTCGTGAAACATTTTTATTATATTTATTTTTATTTATTTTACATAATCTAACCTAAAAGAGATCCCTATTGTTACATTTTAGTTACTTTCATAATAATAAATAAAGAATAAACATGAAAAACAAGAAATATGGTTCCAACCAGGTCATCTTTTTTTTTGCTATCAACTGTTGATGACACTTAACCCTACTTTTTTATACTAATGGTATTAATGCACTAAATAATTTTTGAATATTTTTTAAAGATAATTAACAAGTCCTGAAAGTGAGGATATTGCAGGAGGGGTTTGATTTTCTATGTGATAGTTCTGTAACCAAACAGAATTGAAGGCAATAAAAATTATGGTTTGTCTGTGCAATGACGATTTTATTTCAAGTTAACAAGTCCTGCAAGAGAGGATATGGCAGGAGGGGTTTGATTTTATATATGGTAGCTCTATAACCAAACAAAATTGAAGGCAGTAAAAATTATGGTTTGTCTGTGCAATTATGATTTTATTTTAAGTTAAATTTCATACTTATTGTAGGGGTGGTGGATAAAATAAGGAAGAGAAGATACCTAGAAAAAATGTGTCATGTGTGTCACACTAGGGGAAACTTAGGATTTTTTTATATATTGCCTTGTAGAATTAAGAACTTAAAACTTATATGCTATTAAAATATGGATTATTAGTTAAGATTTTATGCTATACTAATTGTTACAACATAAACAAAAAGTAGTTTAATAAAATTTTGAATGTAAGATACTAAAACCTTGTATTTAATTCCAATACATACTTCCCTCTGCTCAAAAGATTAGCTACTCTCATCCATTACTGCCCTCTATATATGAACTTTTTCTTTACACATGCCACAAGCCTTCTCCTCCCCCTATTGGAATCAAGTGAATCCAAAATGTCTCTCATGCAAATCATCCTGCATAACTTCTCCACCAATAGGAGCAAGACGTATGTGACTCCCTCTATACACCTCTACCAAACTATTACTTCTCGTTTGGCAGTGCTTGTGCTTGGATGTGTTCCTTTGTTTGTTTTAAGTTTCACATTCAACTTTAGTATACTCACGAAAAGGTTTTAATTTAAATTACTTTCATGTTTATTAATACTGTTTCTTCTTTTTAATCCCAGTTTATTACAGTCGCATTATTATTAATAATTTCGATTTTGGTTGACTCTTCTTGATTATCAATTCCAAAGTTCTTGTTACCACTTGCTATGTCACACCAGCAACTAGCGCTGTGTCATAGGTCTTGGGTGCAGGCAACCCAACGGGAGGCTTATCAGTGTTTATTCATAGGGAAATTGAATGTTACATGGGTCAGCCTCCATCTCCAGACCTTGCCCCTTGCTGAGCCTGTTCAGACTGACGAGAACTTGGATCACCTATTTCCACTTCCTGATTTTGCCATGGCTTCCCATGCCCCTACTGAGGAGTCAGTTATGCTTACTATGCTCTTTTTGAATTTCATTTCTCAGGTATGTGATGTTTTAACACTTCCCCCCTATTTTCTATGAACCATGTCCTTTCTTACTACATGAACAATCTTCACATCCCTATTTAGTTTTTCTCCACTCCCCAGATATTCAGGTACATGCTGACCAATTTGCCTCACAATTAAGTGATGAGATTAGCATGCTTCGCCCTCCACAGGCTTCGGATCAGTTTGCTCTTGCATATCATTGTGCAGACTGTCCTTTTCTAGACCAACAGTTGTTAGGTTCTATTTTGCCTATTTGGAGAGCGGTGCCCAAATCTCATGTAAGTCAGACCCATGCCCAATTTTCCTGCCTTTGTCTTTACCCTCACAATTTTTTTACAGTATCTCTATACCATCCATCTCCTCTCTGAGGCTCTCCACCGAAATCCTGAGAGGTTTTATGGTGACATCCTTTCCTTTCTTTCCTTCACTTTGACTTGTCTGTTGTCTTCAGCTTTGGCTTTGCATACTTGGTTTCTCTGTTTTTGAGATCTTCTAGGTCATGATGCGACCTTAACTCGCATCCATTTAACAGCCTCTTATCTTTGGAATTTACATATAACCCCATTTTTGCAGCATTACGTATTTGACATGATCCCTGAGTCCTTGGAGTCGTGAGTTGCATCAATACAACAACAATGTACCCTTTCCAACTTTGTTGCCCATTTGTCTCAGTTGGAGCCCAATATGGCACCTGTTCCAGTTTCCTGTCCTTTCCTATTCCCAACCCTTACCTGTCCCTCCTTTTTGGGTGCTTCGTCTCATTGTTTTCTTCAATGATGCACATGGTAGCTCGATTGGCCAGTTTTCTTCATCAGTGGCATTCTTTTGTCAAGGATCATTCAGTTCTTCAAGTTTTATCGAAAGGATTCATGATGCTGTTTCTTTCCCCACCTCCCATGTTTCCTGTACCCAGTTTTCTTTCCCCACCTCCCATGTTTCCTGTACCCAGTTTTCTTCCCTCTGCCTCAGGATCCAGTGACCAACCAGTGGAGGTGGTTCAGGACCTACTATCTCAGCAATACATCAAAACTGTTATACATACTTCACCAGGTTTTTATTCCAGACTCTTTGTTGTTTCTAAGAAAACTGGGGGCTGGAGGCCTGTCATCGATCTGTCCTGCCTCAATCTATTTGTTCAACTGCCCCATTTTACCATGGAGTCATTTCTCACCCAATGGTGGGCGTTTCTCCAGGCTTATGGATGAACAAGATGGACGTTGCCAATGCTTATCTACACATCCCTATCTCAACACAGTCTGATCTTTGGTTCATCCATCACAGGGTGGTTTACCAATTTTGCATCCTACCCTTTAGGCTTGCTTCTGCCACTTATGTTTTCTTTTGGGTGGTCAGAGCTTTTGCTCACCATCTTCATGCTCTGGGACTGCAATTCCACCATTATATGGATGTCTAGCTTCTTCTGGCTCATTCCGAACTGGAGTCGGCCAGCCATACTTATCAGCTCCTTCATGTGGCTGCTCAGGTGGGCTGGTTAATCAAATTGGAGAGGTTCTTCCTCCGTCCTACCCAATATCTTGTCCATTTAGGTGTCCTTTTTGACACTCATCTCAGTCTGGCCCAACATTCTCCTCCACGACATCATTCCATAGAATTGTTAGACTGCCTCATTGCGAGGTTCTATCACTTTTTGGAATGTGGTTTTCAATGACGTCACTGGTCCCCCTCGGTCTTGCACATATGTGATCCCTTCAGTGGACTCTTCACGATTAGTGGAACCTTGCTTGGGATCCCTTGGCAGCTTCCATTACCCTTCCTCATACCCTGTTGGATGATCTGCTTTGGTGAATGGACAAAGCCCATATGTCTGCAGGAGTCCTGCTTCCTCCTCCTTGTCCGAATTTACAACTGTTCACAGATGTATCCCTTCATGGCTGGGGTGCATGGGCCAATTACCAAGAGGCTTTGGGTTGTTTGTCTGTAGACGAGCAGTCTTTGCATATCATCATCCTCGAGCTTCTCGAGGTCCATAGGGCTGTGAATCACTTCCATCCTCTCAACAGACATTGTCTGGTTATGATTCATTCCAACAATTGTATGGTGGTAGCATATATCAATCACCAAGGGGGCATTCAGTCAAGATCTCTCTGTTTTTGTACATTGGATCTCCTATATTGGGCCCACATGCACCACATTCATCTCATTGTGCATCGTGTTTTGGGTGCTTTCAATCTTGTAGTGGATTGTCTTTCTTGCCCAACAAAATTTAACTGACGGAGTGGTTTTTAGGTCCCTCGTATTCCGGTGGCTTTGCAATCTGTAGGATTTTCCACACACAAATGCATTTGCCACATCCCTTAATCACAAATTACCCCTCTTTTGTTCCCTTTACCTCATTCTCGGGCTCTGGCAGTCGATGCCTTCAGCTAGGATTGGTCCCACATATTCATTTATGTTTATCCCCCTATCTGATTACTTTATCGGGTGGTCTCTCTCATCAATACCACTTTGTGTTGAGTCTGATCTCTCTATATTGGCCAACTCAACCATGTTTCCATGATTACACCAACTGCAACTTTTCCCTCCAGTACCCCTCCCTTCTTCATCAACCTTGGTGAATGGTTTTATATCCTGCCATTCAATTCCTTTGTCCTTATGCCTGGCTTTTATCTGGTCCTAGGCAAGTAGATCCAGTTTCTCCTGTCGAGTTGCTTTCCTTTTAGTTGGTTCCATATGTCCTTCTTTCATGGAGGTGTATCAGCGCAAATGGAAGTTGTTCCACAGTTGATTCACTACTCGGGGGTTCCTCGCTGACTGATCTACTGTGGCTCGTGTATCTGAGTTTCTCACATGGCTTTTCCTCGTGCTTCATGTTTCACCTTTCCCTTAAAACATATTTCCTTCTCCTGTTAGCCTGTGGATGACAAAGATCTGATTTGTTCTCCACTGACATTTCATGTACACTTTACCACCACACCTATCTTCTCCTTTATCTCAATCGTTTCTTCCTCCCAAAAATCTCTGCAGCTAGGGAGGGTAACTCCACTTCTTTGTCTATTTCTCATCTCTATCCTCATCCCGATCCGGACAGACTTCTATGTCCAGCCTGTACCCTTCATTGTTATATTGCCCGCAAGGCTTCTTTCTGTGGTACTCGTTCCTGACTCTTTATCCCTTGGCAGTCTTCCTCTGTTTATGATCTATCCCCTTCTTCCCTCACCAATTTGGTTTGACATTTGATTCAATTGGCTTATTCCTCCTTGTCTTCTTCCCATCAGAATTTGCTCAGAGTGTCTTCTCATCAGATTCGACACCACAACTTTTCCTTCGCATTTCGTCTTCATCGGCCATCAGAGGAAATCCTACATTTGGGCATGTGGACATCACCTAATACGTTCATCTCCAATTACTTGCACCATATCGCAATTTCTTCTTTGTCAGATTTTCATTTTCCACCTTTGGCCGTTCTTCAAGTTTCAGTGCGACTTTGACTGGGTAAGTCTGTATTCATACATTCTTTTCATTTCAGGAGCACTTGTTTCATTTACTCATTATATGGATCCTGCTCTGTGGTGAGTGGTTCCTGACCAGGTATTCTTCAACTTGAAATCTGCACTGTGCAGCCATGTTGACTCGTGCTTTATCTTCCATGGCTTCGCAATACTCACTGTTTAGATGGGGTGTTTCACAAGAATGCTTTTAGGTGAATAACCTTGCAATGTACTTGCTTCATAAACCTGCCCATTCTGAACTGTATCATCCATGGACTGCATGGATAAAGCAGAAGAGGATAGATGCCCATTCCTGCCATGCCTTGTATTGAATAAATCGGTATAGTCTGCTTTTCAAAATAGGGTTTTGTGGTCACCCATTGCACCATCTCAGGTGATGACATTTCTACTCTCCACCGTATTCTCACCCAGTATGGGAGTCCTTACCACTTTCCAGTTCCAAGCCGCTAGGGTGTTCAACCTTGGAGGCACCCTCCTGAATGGGTTCCACACAAAGATGACTATAACCATTCAGTATAGAGTAGGACAGTGGTGTTCTGCAGGTGTAGATGACATGCTCTCCTCCACTATGTAATATACAGGAACAAAGAAGTGAGATATCAAATTGCAGTTTACCTCTTCAATGGGAACCCTCATCCTACCCCTGCATGGATGTTGGTACCCCGTGGCTGGGTTTTGGATTTAGAGTAGAACCAATCAGTATCAGTCCTCACACATGTTTATGGTTATCTGTATTCCTCCCTCTACCATACTCCTTCTGTGTTGTGGGTCACAGTGGAGGTAAGGGGGATTGTTTCGGTTCTGTTGTTTTTGCTCTCCCTTGTATATCTTATTCTAAGGATGTCATTGCTTTTTGTATGGTTCCTGTCAGTTTCAGTGTTGGATGAGTTGATTTATATTGAATACACATCCTTTCAATGTTCTGGAGTCCGAGTGGTCTAGAGGCTCTCCGGTCTCTTGAACTTGAGGTGAAAATGGTATGATCCTCATCCTACCCCTATGCGGATGTCAGTTCCCACGGCATGGGTTTTGGATGTAGTTGACTTACCAAGTACAGTCCATCACACCATAGCCACTCTACACCTAGGGGGCACATCCACTAATTTATCCACTATCATACTTTATGGGATTAAGTTACATATATATTTACATGGTTAGGACCACTATTCTGCCACAGTTCTTTCCCACTTGGATGTGATCCTCTCTTTTCTTGCCCTTATCTACTACATATTTCATGGATGGGTGAAGAGTATGCCTGGTTCAGAAGTGGTGCCACAGTTCTCTCCCACTTGGATGTGATCCTCTCTTTTCCTGCCCTTATCTACAACATATTTCATGGATGGGTGAAGAGTATGCCTGGTTCAGAAGTGGTGCAGTTTCCCTGATGAGATCTTTGGATCTGACTCTCTCATTTCCAGGGGTATCTTTCGGACGCTTACAGGGGTACTTCTGTCATTCCCTTGCACCGATCCTTCCATCTAAGCAATGTGGGATTCTTCACACCCTTCCTCCCCACTTTCCTCTCGTGCTTATATCTTCTGCTAAACTTCGAAGTGATTACTCTTGGTAGAGGCGTATAGAGGGAGTCACATGCATCACGTATGTCATGCACCTTTTGGTGGAGAAGGGACGTATGATGATTTGCATGAGAGACTTGTTGGAATCATCTGATTCCAATAAGAGGGAGCAGAAGGCTAGTGACATGCATAAAGAAAAAAGTTTGCTTATAGAGGGCAGCACTGGACAAGAATAGCTAATCTAGTGAGTAGAGAAAAGTACCTATTGGAAATACATTTTCAGTATAGGAAAATTATAACTTTTGCTACATACTAAAATTAACATATTAATTTCCAATTTTTATTTATGTTTCAAACTAAATTAGCACACTAGTTATAACTTTTTATTTTTGCTTTAAGCTAAATTAGCATACTGGTTATTAACTTTGTTTTTGTTTCAAGCTAAATTAGCATACTGGTTACTAATTTTATGTTTTATTTCAAGCTAAATTAGCATTGTGATTTATAACTTTTTTCGTTTCTTTTTCAAGCTAACTTATTGTGCTGATCACTAAATTTTATGCTACTTAGCAAAACCTGTATAAACATGACAACCGCTACAAATATTAACCATGTGATTACCAATGTTTTACACATGGTGAAATGTAAACTATAGTTAGTGGGAATGCTTCAACTTAGAAACTATAAAAAAAATTTATTAAGAAATGCCATAGTTAAATGTTAAATGACAAAATGTGTTATCTGGTTTTGCACTAGAAACAACAAAGAATAGGAATTATAGTAGTTCATTGTTATGAATACAGTTTTATAATATTTTCTTTGAAGCTGGCTCAAGCTTGGAATGTAAACTGATAATAATTATATCTCATAAGAAAAGGGAGGACAGTAGAAGGTTTTATCCAACAATTTGAAACAAACTGCAAACATGTACATTAGAAAAGGTGTGAGGAATTGTAGTATCATTCAGAGTATTAAGCAGAAACTAATGGAGTTGAAATAGGGAAAGTAATAATGAAGATTGGGTATCTAAAAATTTAAATACGCCTCATGTTGAATATATATGTAATAACATATTTATTATGTATTTTTGTCAGCAACATTATGTTTAGGGATTCTGATAGCTAACCAGAGAGTGTTTTTTTTATAAGAAATTGTTATTCATTGTTTAGATAATAAAACTGTCTTGAATTTTGATTTTGTTTCTTTTGAAAGTATTTTATCAACAAATTTAATGAGGAACGTTATTATGATTAATAGATGAAAGTAAAAGTCACAGAAGATTATGACCTAGATGACATGTTTACTTCAGATGTAGCCAAGAAGCAAACTGCAACTATGTCTCAAGCAAGGGAGCGCTCTTTAGCTATCTTAGGTAAGTCTTTTAAACTTTTATTCAAAAAGGGGACTTATTTTAGAACTTTCTTGAGAAATACTTTCTTTTCTATTTCTGCAAATTGAATCTGTATCTTAAGATGATGAAATTGTTATAGGAATATGTTGCAGAAACTAAAAACATTTTGTGTTCATACTAGTGTGTGATGGACCCATTTTAGAAACAGTTGTGATAACAAATGTTTTGTCATTGAAAGTCAGGTGTTAAGGTTGTAAAAATATTAGATCAGACATGGTGATGTTTCATTTAAAGTGTTGTATTTCATTTACACAGAATTTAATATGGAATATTAACTATGGTGTATGACAGTGTAAAAGCTTAATATGAAAAATATTATTAATCAGGAAACTGGAGATTATAGATGTAGTATTTATTTAGAGTTACCACTGAGTTAAGCTTCATGTTATTTCAAGTGGTAACACATTCTTAACTGTTGTGATGCCCCTGTTAGTGATGTCTTGAGTCTCAATGGTTCCTTGGTTATTAAACCAAGAAAAGAGGATGTGCAAATTAGAAATCAAAGTAAATGAGACTAGAGCAGTTGTGAATGGGAAGTAAGACTGTGTGATAAACGTCTGAGATTTGACTCTAGACTCATCATTAAAACTAGTCGATCATCGTAAAAGGACTGAAGCTCTTGTGACCTCCATGGGAATTTATGAACTTGTGATAAACAGTACAATGTTTAGGAATGTGGTATGCAAATACCATATATCTTACACTTCCATAATATGTATTATGTACCTACAAAATTTTCATTTTTTCTAAGTTTTAATTCTGGAACACTTATTCCAGTTGAGATAATGTTCAAAATTCAGCCTGAGTAACTTATCTAGTGTTTCATCAGATAGTTGTATTGTATCTTGCTTTACTTTGTGTATATAGAGCTATCTTACGACTTTCGTGTGAAGCAGATACTTCTGACTTATTGCAATCACCTTTGCACTTTTACAGTACAGAGAGAATGTGAATTTTGAGAACAGTTTTTGGTATTTTCAGAGAGATTTGCTTCTTTGAAATGGCTAAGATGTGCGATACTATATTTTTGTGTAGATTCTGTGCCTAAATTTCAACTTCATTTACTTCTATTTTATTTTAATTTTGTCTTTTCAACTTGGAAAATATGTTATACACTTGTGAAGCATGATATAAACAATACTTAGTTGTGTTTATGAGGCTTGTTTGTTTCTTTTCTTCTGCTGTTGTTCTCACATCAACATTCTGTTGAACCAAATATTCAAACCTATTGTTATGCTGAGGTAGTTTACCTGTGTGGCATTGTTCCTCTAAACTAGGAATACTACTGAAAGAACAGTATAAGAATATTAATGTACTGCAAGTAACTGTGAGAATTACTGGCATTAGATATTCAGTGGACTTGATGTTACAGTTGTTTTGAGATGAACAATGCTTTGGCCTCTGTAAAGGTATAGAAACATTTAGTATGTATTGGCTTTCGAATGGTGTTAAATTGTTATTCTGAGAGGTGTTGGGAAATAACTTTATTTGTACTTTTGATAAAATATTTACATGTTATCATGTTAATTCCATTTTTGTTTTTTTAGTGAAAAACAGAAGTAAAAATGCTATGTTTCATCATTTCATTTTATTTTTTGTCTAAAATGTAAAAATTAACTTATACTGTTAGAAAAAGAATATTTTTTTATCAATAAATGCTTGTTTCTACAATGTTTAAGAGAACTGCAACTTCCAAATGAAAGTTACTTCAGTAAATTTTACCATAATTGTTTGCATTCAGGGTATATATATATATATAGTTGAAGGTAACAAGTACGTCAGTTATTCATGCACTATTCTGTTTACTTTGATTGTTCATATACTTTTTTCTGTGATTTAAGAGCAAAGAAAATTGAGAGAAGCATTGGAACAATGTCCATATTGTATTGACAGTCATAAGATGCAGAAACATCTATTAATCAGCATGGGTAGTAAGGTATGTGAAATCTGTATACATAATTTAATACTGTTTTTGAGGCATATGGAGTTTTTTGAATCTTTAGAACTGGAATATTTGCCACACACTTGTGTGCTTAAGACAGAGGCCAGTCCAATAACCTTTTTATCATTGCTGTACATGTTAAGATAAATATTATTAGAGGAGTGAACTTATTTGTTCAAGTTGAAATTATGTAAAACACACACACATAGATTTTTAGGCATGTTCTATGTGCAAAATAACTTCAATGATCAATGTATTGCACAAAAGTTAAAATTGATTACAAGCATACTGTTTTCTTGAAGTTCTACCTGTAGGTCTTTGTAGTATGCTTGTGAATTATTGTGTCTGCATTTACCAGCTTATTGATTATAACAATCATTTCCTGTTCTATCTTTATTCTTGATAAACATTCACTTATCACTTTTGACTTGAAAAACATTTTTAACCATTTGCCTTGGAAAATTGAAAGGTGAAATAAAAATATGGTTTAACAAATGGAATGGTTTAGCAGGTAAGTGACTTTAATTTCCTTAGTATGATGTTTTTTCTGATTACATTGGCTTTTAAGTATTTATTAGACGGTGTTTATTTCATATGTGTGTGTGTATGTGCATATTGATCTCTAAATTCCAAAATATGCCATCCACTGACATATAGCTATTCCTCGACCATTACTTTGCCCATCTAAGCATTTGTCTTGCTTGCTTCAGTCTTTTATAACCCAGCTATTTTTCGATTTTCACTTTGCCCATCTTAGCATCGGTCTTGTTTGCTCCAGTCTTTTATACCCCACTTAACCCTATCACCACAGGTATCCTTTACTGCACATGACACAATGTTTTTAATGTCTTACATTCAAAATTCTATTAAACTACTTTTTATTTATGTTATACCAATTAGAATAGCATAAAATCTCGGCTAATAATACATATTTTAATAGTGTATAAATTTTAAGTTCTTAATTCTACAAGGCAATATTTAAAAAAATCCTGAATTTCCCCTGGTGTGACCAACGTGACACATTTTCTTTTAGCATGTCATCTTCCCTATTTTATCTACCACCCCTCAAATAAGTACAAAATTAAATGTAAAATCATCATTGATCAGACAAACCATTATTTTCATAGACTTCAATTTTGTTTGGTGACAGAGCTATTGATTAGAAAATCAGACCCCTCTTGCCACACCTACCTGACATATCCTCTTTTTTACAATTCGTTAATAGTTCTCTTTTATGTTTCATTATATATAACCTATAATCAATAGAAAGTCAAGGTTTTCATCTATCAAATGACGTATCGTATAACATTATGTTCTGAATGCTTAAATGTCAGTTTCACTCAGAGTACCAACTTTGTTCCGATGAGAAAGTTAATGACTGGTTGGGATGAATTTGTAGTGACTTTTGTCACATAGTTAGAAAGCCAGAAAAATTTTGAGAGGTAAGGGAATTTGTATACTTTTTGCAGGTTATTAGTCTATAATCTTTGGTGTATTATTTAATTAAATAAAAATTATCAAGTGCATTACTATCATTAGTATAAACAAATTAGGGTTAACTCTTTTTGACAATTGACAGCAAGAAAAAAGAAGCAAGTTAAGTATTTTATTTCTTGTTTTTCTTGTTTATTCTTTTTGTATAATTATAAAAGTAACTAAAATATAAAATAGGGATCCTTTTAGGTTATTTAAGATTTGATTAGGTAAAATAAATAATAATAATATAATAAAAATGTTTCATGAGACACACATGTGACAGGTTGTAGTAGCTCATGGGTAATGTAATTCATTAGCATAACGTTAGCTGCACATTCCCCAAGTGATTTGCAACTTATAATGGTGCAGATAGTAGTTAAACATTGTTCAAAGGGCAATATAACAGTAAAATTTAATTATAAATAGATGTATATTGTTATGAACTTAGAGCTACTTAGGATAAACCAATGTAGTATCATGTTACATTTCGAAGTCATTCTAGAAAGAAAAAAAAGAATAATTTAGATTTATTTCAATTTTTTTGTTTTTTGTTTGGTGGTTACGAGGTCGGTTTAATTGACCAATTTCGTTTTGTCAGAAGAGATAAGTATTATTGGAAATACATTTTCAATTTAGGAAAATGTTAACTTTTTATGCTTTCTGATGATATACAGGGTGGTACAAAAGTAACACTTCATAGGGATTCTGAATAACAATAAAAACAAAATAAGTACTTTTTTTGTTTATTAAAGTAATTATGTTGTTTTTATTGTTATTCAAAATCCATATGAGGCATGACTTTTGTACCACTGTGTATAATTTATAAATAAACACAGCTGAAATTACCACAGTAGTTCTCTAATGCTCAAGGTACAAAGTTGGTTTCTTTATTTGCATGTTACAGATGTTACAATATACACTTGTCATACAGTGTGTTAAGAAAAAAAATGGTTTATTTGGATGTCAAAAACTTCAGTTTTTGTAATTTATGAAAATGAAAAGTCAACAATATAAGATCTATACATTCAACAGAGTTGGTATAATATATTATTTACATAACTTTTTACTGCAGTAATATTACCTGTATAAATAATGAGGTATTATAAGATGTATAAGATTTTTAATGGGAGTAATACTATTACAGATACTTTTTACAAAAAAAGAAACAAGATCATCTGGTTTCCATCTCTATTGTACACCTACAATAGTGCTCTTTTCTTTTTTAAAACTAAAGTATATTTCAGTTTCAATACAATACATTAACATGTAAAGCTATTCTTGTTCAGTGCTGCCTTTTGTATGCAAAAATGTTTTTGCATGCCACAAGCCTCAAACTCCCACGTACCTCACAATCAATAAATGTGGTTCAACTGCATCTCACATATAAATCATCATGTGACAATCTCCACTAATAGGAGTGCAACACACCCTCCTGACACTTGTGGCTCGCTTTATTCATTTCAACTGAACTATCACTTCTTGTTAGGCAGTTATCTAGTGCAGACATTCTTTTATTGTGCTCCCTTATTGTATTTTTCTTTAATATTTCTGCGAAGCAGAGGTATCATTTCAATATTTTACTACAGTTTATTTCTGTAGGCAAACTGTTTGTCCCTGAAGAAGAAAAGTTCTCCTTTCAAAAGCAGTCAGATTATAGAGTTTTTATCATCTTGTATCAAGACTTCTTGAACCTATGTGTTTTTCTGACATCATGAATATATGAGACTATTGTATTTATCATGGTATTAATGAAAATATTTTGTTTCTGACTAATGTAAAGATAATATCAAGCATGAAATGTTAAGTTTTATTAAATTTGAAACTTATTATTTGGGTATTAGTGCAAATTGTGGTGATGCAGTTGCCACCTTTTTTTTTATCTTCATGTACTGTTGTTCTTTTTCATTTAATTATCTTTCAGTGTGTAATTAAAATTCAAACAACCAATATTTTTTTAAGGGTTAAGAATTTCAAATCATGTAAGTCATAAAATATAAGATAAAAGATTGATTAAAACTACTCAAACACAAATTTTTTCAGTGCACTTCTCTTTTTAACAGTCCGATTAATCAGCTAAAAGTCTCGTTTTAATAACTTAGAATTATATTTATGGATTTTTCCAGAAGAATTAAAGGCAGACATTTTGGCAATCAATGTAGGCATGCATATACTGACCTTTTTTATTAATATGCATTTTTAAAGATTTCTTAGCTGGAACTGTGATATTTTATATTCCATTCTTCTTAGAGTGGATATTTTAAAGAAATGGATTTAATTTTGATTTTAAGAATTACTTGGAAGGATCATAAGATATCATGTATATTATAGTGCAACAAATATGTTGTTGGTTTAGGTTTCAGTCTTGTCACCAAATTTATTAAGATTTTCACAGGAAGTGTAGAGAAACTCACTGCATTTCATTTACAGTTGTCTTTCATTTCAGCTACATGAGTGTCATTGACTTTCCACATAACTTGTTACATTGTAATAAATCTTGCTGTTTTTAAGTAGTTTTTATATGTCCATAATTTGCTGAAGACATTAAATATAGAATCCTATTTTACAGATTTAGAAGTTAAAGTAAATGAAATGTTAAATCTTTTCTTTTCGTCAAGAGTTATCTGTGTTTGCCACTTTACCAACCTCTTACTGAAGGACACTGTTTGATTGTTCCAATTTCACACATTTCATCTGCAACACTGCTGGATGAAGATGTTTGGAACGAAATCATGGTAAGAGTCAGCAGTCTAGTCCAATTTTTTATAATTTATAGTTTTTCTTTCTGCAATACACTGTGAATTTTGCTGTAGAAGAACTATTACATTTAGTCTTGGCTCACACTAAAAGAGTAGACAGTACTTTTGCAGTTAAAACTGAATTATCTTAGAAACGTAGGTAATACTTTAAGAGAAATACTGTTTTTTCATAATATTTGTTTTCTAAATGCTTGTTTTTCTTTTTTTTTTACATACACCAATATTTGGAAACATGGCAAGATTGAGTATTCTAAAACAAAGTGTTCTAATGGACATAAATAGAGATTAAAGATGGTAGTACAGGTTGGATAGTTTCTGCTATTAAGAGTGAAAAATTAATTCCTGCTGCTCCAGATGAGTCAGTAGTTTTATTTACTCACAAATTTTGTCACTGTTGTCTCATGGGACAAAAAAAAATATTTTGAATATTTTTGTTCACACATGATACTAAAATATGATAAATTGTGTCACTCACAGTTTATGAAATATTCCTGTCATGAATCACTGTTGTAGTTTATGATAATACACAAGCAATATAAAGTTTTGGGTTATAATGTCCAGTCATTATTCTTTTTTATTATATTTTAAAGATACAAAATTATATTAAAATTTAAATTACAAAAATTTTAAATGTTATAAGTAGTAATATTTATAATTTTTCATTCATTTTGATGTATTGAACTGTTATTAATGTTAAATCAGTCAGCTACTCACCTTATGAAAATACAAGTCATTATTAACTTTACTTATAAAATAACAAATGTTATAGAAAATCTTTCTACTATACTGTTAAAGAAATAACCGTTAGTTGAAGTGTATAAGCTTGTATGAGGAGATATATAAATATACTTTTAACCTAACATGAAAGAAGTTTTCTTATTAACACATCCCTTCTCAATTATTAAACCAAATTGAATTAGGCATGTCTTCTGTTGAAAGAGTAAATGTTGAATCTATTTTTTGCAAAAAAATTTGATGTTTTACCCTGCAGATGAGATATTAAACTTTTCAAATGTGTTAAAATGATGTTTTATACTGTTATATCTTTAATGATGAAATAATGCATATTATGTTGTAGACTTTTTCATAAGGAAAATTTCAGTGAAATTTTCTAATAATTGTTAGAAAATTATTGATAATTTTAAATTGCATATATTATATTAACGAGTATGTTTGCTAATTTTTCTGATTTTGTCTATGCTAATGATTTCTGAACTTAAGATATTTTAACCCATTGACTGCTGATTCGCTGTGTACGGTACGGTCTGCATCAGGAAGTTGAATGAGATCGTGCTGTGTACAGTGTATGGCTCACAAAAATTCTGCACGTGTTTAAACCAGCTGCAGTCAGAGGGTTAAGATTTAAATATGAGCATTTTGTATAATGTCATTTTCCTTTAGTTTTAAGTGGAATTTTACATCACTGCCTAGAACTATTTTAAAAGTTGTAAATACTTTATATTTCATTTAGAAGCTCATTTGATTTCAACCAGTTAATCCTTTTCTGACCTTCTGATGTTCAATAATATACTGATATATATTCATAGTGTACATTTTCCCAACTCCTTTTATAGTTTTGAACAGAAATTCACTTGATAACCTTTTCTTGTGTGAATCCTTATAGAGATTTGTAGAATTTAAAAATGTTCTTGTAAGGTACTTTAACTAGTTGGCTCAAACTATTCTTTATATCCCAGCATAGATAATATTTTTATAACTGTTTAATGGGTTTAAAAATCTAGAATTTTTAAGTGTGATAATAGTTATTTTAGAAATATTTAAAAATTATTCTTTTGAACCTAATTTTTGGGTCCTGACATAGCCTAGTTTTTAGGGTGCTTGACTCGTATTCTGCAGATTGCAGGATCAAACCCATCACTGAACTTGTTTGCCCTTTCAGTTGTGAGAGTATCATAATGTGATGGTCAATCCCACTATTTCTGGGTAAAGAGTAACCCACAACAATGGATGGTGTAACTAGTTGCCTTTTCAAAAGTGGAGATGGCTAGTGTAGATGGTCCTAAGATAGTCTTGTGTGGAATTCAACAGACAAACAAACTGATTTCTGTTATGATGACTCACCTTCGTACACAGAACAACTATTTTCCTCATGAAGTTGCAGTATTTTGCCTTGGAGATTTCCTTGACACCAGCCTTGTAAAACTCCCACCTAACTTTCACGTGGAACCACGTGAACATGCATTACTGCATGATGACATATCATGCAGCAAAATCCTCCACCAATAGGAGTGCAACACAACTTTTTGTGCAGATGCTCTCTCTACATTCAAGTGCAAAAATCCTCATTCTGCAGCTCAGGTTTAAAAATACAGTAAGAAGAAGAGCAACATAACTAACATCATCTATCATATGGTGGGGTCCATGTTGCTGTCTGGACCCTCTTCTTTTGTCTCTGCCACACATTTCATTTCACAAATTTTGAAGAGGACAAAATAGGGCAACTTTTCCACCCAATGCTTCTCTACCTACTGAATATTCCTTGAACTTTCCTGCCTTATGTACTCCTTCTACCTGTTGTTTCCTTTCTTTTCCCCAACCTGTTAATGCTGCACCTGGCATTTCCTTTGGGTTTAAATTCACTCCTCTTTTATGCCTTGTCCTTCTTGACTTACCAGGTAACATGTAGAAGTTATTGTTTAGACATTGTTTATTACTCTTTAACATGTTCATTAAGAACTAGTTCGTTGCTTCGTAACGTGTACTGCTTAGGCTATAATGTTTAATCATAGTTACTTACTCCTTAATATATACCACATAGACTTTGATGATTGGTCATTCTTACTTATTCTTTACAGTGTCAACATTGACGTTAATGTTTAGTTACATTCAGTTGCTCTTTCACATGTAACATATAGTCTGGTTTATTACTCCTTAATATGTTTACATCTAGTTCATTACTTCTTCACACGTCCTCATGGTAGATAATGCTTAGTCTCAATTGATTATACCTTGTCACATATATATGACTGTTAATATTCATTTCTAGTTCCTTATTTTTTAACTATGTGTACCTAGAATATATTGTTTAGTTCTTGTTCATTACTTATTCACATGTACACATGGAAGATAATGCTTAGTCTTCATTAATTATTCATTGCTATCTACACATCCATGTTCGTCCTCAGTTCTAGTTCTTACTCCTTACCATATCCACATAGAAGATATTGTTTTGACATTGTTCATTACTGCTTTACATCTACCCATATGAAATAATATTTGGACAGTTAATTCTTCCTTATCTTGTCCCATTTAGAATATCTTGTTTGATCATGGTTCATTGATCCTTTCTATATTCACAACAGTTGATGTTTAGAAATAGTTGCTTATTCTTAATGTGTATACTTAAATATTAATGTTTAGTTCTAGTTCATTACTTATTCACTTATAACTCACAGAATATGTTGTTTAGTCATGGTTTCTTACTCCTTATGTCACTTAGAAGGTAATGTTTCATCATAGTCAGGGTTGTAGTTAAGATGATTTGAGTGGTGGGTGGAAAAAACATGCCTGCAGATGCCACCATCGTACCCCACCTTCGGCCAGGCAAAAAAGAAAAAAGTTATTATTTTCATGTTTATAATTTTAATATGTTATAATTCTAATGGCTTTCAAAATTTGTAAATTCCTTTGGAAAGTCTGATAAAACAATCCACACGAGCAGTCACTAGGCAAACACGTGTTATAAGGTGAACGACCAGTCTACAAAATAAAGGCGGTGACAAATTTTACTCTAGGCTGAGTTTTATTTTTCTGATTGATCTATTTTTAACAGCAGGTAATTGATACAAATTAGTGAAATGAGATTGAAAAATGTTTTTGTGCAAAAAAACACATTGAAATATTTTATATATATATATCTGTAAAATTTTGAAAATATTTTTACACACCACATAAACTTTTACTAGAAAGAAAATAGGCTTTGTATGGTATCCACCGTAGATGATATCATTTGATGTGCCACACTAAGTACAAGTGATTTAGTGTGGCATGTGCTGTTTGTTCAGTTTCGCGTGCAGGTTTTTTCCTGTACTTTTCTTGGAAAGTATTTTAGCACGAAGGTTATTTGCTACGTGACTTTCAAGAAAATTTTGTTTCTAACAAGCTAATTGTGAAATAAACTGTACTGCAACATTGACAAAAAAATTTTTAATGCTTATATTGAACTTTTTCTAAGTGATATTTAGTGCTGGGCAGCAGTAGTCTCATTGCATGGGAATGCTGAGTGAGCAGAACAAGTCCTGGGCAGCCCCACCCATCATAGCTACAACCCTGATTGTATTTCATTACTCCCTAACATGTACACTTCAAAGGTACTGTTTAGTTGTAGTTCATTACTCCTTAATATGTACACAAGGTAGATGATGCTTCTGTCTAGTTCCTTTTTAACATGCTTACTTAGACGTTCATGTTTAATTTCCTTTCATTATTCCTTAACATGTACATATATGAGATAATATTTCAATATCATATTTTTTCTTCCTTAACTTGCAACACTTTGAAAATGATGTATAGACTTCATCCATTACTTTTTAGTATGTCCACTTAATGATTAATGTTTAGTCTCAGTGTTTTTTTTCTTTTTTACTGCTTAACGTGGATCTATGGATGATAATGTTTACTTCTCATCCATTACTCTTTGACAAATCACACATAAACGAAAATATTTTGTTATAGTTCATTACTTTTAACACTTACATGTATTAGATAATGTTTTGTTCCCATTCATTGCTCCTTAACATGTCCACATAGTCTATAAAGATCAGATCTAGTTATTTACTTCTTTATATACCATTAGAGGATAGGGTTTAGACATCATTGTTTATCTGTAATACGTCACACATCAATGATAATACTTTGTTGTAATAGATTACTTTTTAGCATTTATGCATTGTAAGTAATATTTCATCCTAGTTCTTTACTCCTTCACATGTCCGTATAGACTATAATGATTATTCTGGTTAATTACTACTTCATGTTACATTAGAAGTTAGGGTTTAGACATAATTGTTTACTCCATACCATGTTGCCCATAGTCAGTGTTTAGATGTGATTACTTACACTGTCAAATACACTTCTAGCAGATAATGTTTAATCTTTTTTCTTTATTCCTTAACATATAGGTATAGAAGATAGTATTCAAACATATTTTGGGCCTATTCAATTCAAATGTGTTTATAACCTGTCATACTCTTGGAGCAATGCACATTGTTGTGGGCAGTCTTCTCAACATGACCATGTCCTACCCACAGATTGGTTCCTCACTCACTAGTCTTTCATAGTTCTGCTTCCTCATTTTTCATCCTCCTCTTGTTGCCTTGCCACACCTCACTTTGCTAATTTCCTTTCTTCTGGTCTCTTGTGCCTCATTCCTGAGCCCTGGCTGTCTAATACCCTCTGTCTGGTCTGGTCCCATTTTGTTTTTCTTATGCATGTCCTCCTCTCTCAGGTCCTTGCTCAGTTGTGGAACACCCCTTAAAGGTTCCCTTTGGTAGCCCCTCACAGGCTATCAAAACCTTGTTCTTATTACCCCACCTCCTCAAGGTTCCGCCCATTTCCAGCTTTCAATCCCTTATGATCCACTCTCAAACTTTGCTTTTTCCTCTGGATATGACATCCATTTATCATTGCATGTGGGATTGGTCAGTCCACCTCCCTGATCATGTAGTTGTCCCTTTGTCCCACTCCTGTCACTCTTCTGTGTGCCAATGTATGGGATGTACTTATCACCATGGTTTTATTGTCACCATTTCTCTTTATTTTCATTACATTGTAACATATTCCCATGTTCTTGTAAGTCCATTCTATCTTGGGTTTTAGAGTGGCATTTCCTCTATCTTCTGCTTTTCCCAATGTCACAGTTTCCTTTCTTTGCCTCCTTTCTACCTTCTCTTATTCTTTCCTTATCCATTGCCCCTTCCTATTTCTTTCCAGATTTATTATCATTGTGGCTCTCCATGATCTTACCTGGGTCCCTATTGAATTTCAAGCAGGTGTTTCTGCTCTTCCTATTCCTACTAGCCATTGATAGCCATTGTACCCATGTCTACACCCTTGTTCCCCATGCTTTCTCATTACTGCTTGTCCCTTCTCCTTTGTCCTCCCCTCATATTCCATGACAGGGAAAAGTGGTATTCCTTTTCTCCCATATCCCCCCTTCAGTTTTTCTTTTCAGTGGTATTTCTGTCCTGGACAGACATTCTTGTTCTGTTTGGACTGCTCAGTGTTTTGTCACACTCTTCCTCCTTGTGATCCCTCTCACTTTCCTTTTATACGTGAGATATGTTCAGTACCCAGGGCCTCTCTCTTTACACCTTTATGGATTGGATTCACCAACTAGACATCAATATTCCCTTCTGAAGACAGATGTGTATATGCTTTCTTAAGTCTCCTCTCTTCAGCTTTTCCCTCCCATTTCCCTAGGCTGGCATGTTGACTACCCTACAATCGTTCTTTCACATTAAATTATCTCCACCATCTGGCTGTCCCACCTCCAGTAGCATACAGACTTCCACCAATAGCCATTCTTTGAATCACCCAGCACCTGTAACAGGTGTGAGTATTCATTTAATTATTCCTTCCTCACCTTTCTTCTATACTTGGATCCCACTAGGCAGCTGGTGTTGCCTCATAGGTATACTTACCAAAAATTCTGCATCGGGCCAAGGTAGCAAAAGATGCTCAGACCATCTGCCCTGACCAAATCAGTGCCCACTGTGAGTTGGGGTGTTCCACAAGACCACTGGAGCTCTGCTCGTGATATTACTATATATAACTTTTTCCCAGTCTGATCCAGACTGTACCTGTTCCAGGGACTATCATGGAAAAAGCCAGCACCTTGCTGGCTTTTAAAAATAGGGTTTCACAGTTACCTATTGCACTGTCTCCAGTAAAAGACCTTTCTGGGCTGAAGGACTAATGAGGATCTGGGCATGTCCTCTAGGTGGTCTCCCCTATGGAAATTCTCCACCCACTCCCTTCAAGTGGAGCATGGGAGACCCTGATTAGGACCAGAAATCAAGTGTTAAAACACAGGGTCTCTCTGAGAAGTGGTGAAGGGGGGGGGGGGTGTATCTGGAGTGTTGTACAGACCACCCCAACCTGTCTATATACATCGCAATCTCTGAGTGGATTTCAAACACATCTCTTCTACTCTCTTTTCTCCTTTACCTACTCTTGCAAGGACATGACCCCATCAATTATGCTTGTGGAGTTGTTAATATTTCTTAATATTCAACCATGGTGTATTGCTCATTAACCCTACTAACACAGCTGGCAATGGGCCCATAGAGTCTGATGGTTGAATGGTGGCTCCTGAAACTGGTGTGGGCCCTTAGTGTCAGACTGTTGAGGAGTTGTGCACAGATACTTTTTGCATATTCACTTCTTCCATAGCTGGTATTGACGCATAGGGACTGACGGTCGTGGAGGTGAGCACACTTGGGTCAGTCTGAACGTGTCCCGATCACCTTACTACACATACTGGTCTTTTGATGGCTTGTGTGCAAGCTTTCAGATGGTCATGTACCTATTCCACCCATCCCAACACTTTTCGGGCTTTTTGCCTTTCCTTATCTTTCACTTTCAAAGTGAAAAATATACTCTGATTGAGATGAGGTATCACACCCCATGGGCTTCCTTTTGGTGCTCTCGAAAAGGAGGCTCATCTAGATAGTTTCTGCACCATTCCCTCTTCCACTTCAACATGGGATTCTAGGTGTTCTGTGTATAAAGGTGAATCATCGTATCAGAAGTTAATATTTTTCTTAACTGAAAATATATTTCTGATAGATACTCACCTCCATATATGTTCCTACCCTTCTTCGCCACTTTCCTGGTGCACTTGTATTGATTGCCTCATTAAAGAATGAAGGTTTTCAGATGTGAATGTAGAGGGAACATTTGCACAAGGAGATTTGTCGCACTCTTACAGGTAAGAGGGTTTTGCTGCATGCTATGTCATCACACAGTAATGCAAATTCCTTTGTTTTCACATGAATTTTAGGTGGGAGTTTCATAAAGCTGGTGGCATGCCAATCTAAAGCAGAATAGCATGACTTCAAGAGTAAAATAACTGTTCTGTGTACTGAGGTGAATATAAATTGGAAATACATTTGCAGTTAAAGAAAATGTTAACTCTAATCTGTTTTTAAATTGTATTAATTGTAGATTTAAATATAACTATTATTTTTGCTACTTTTTTTTTGAGAAAAATATAAATTATTTTAAGAGAAATTTAAATCCTGGTTTAATAAACTTCCAAAAACTTTTATATTAACAAAAAACTCTGCTTTTTTTAAAGTTGGTTTGTATTTTCTGTAAGATGCTGATTATTAACATGCAGAGTGAAATTAAAAACCCCTTGATGTTTTGTCTGTAAAAGAAAGGGTTTAATCTGGCTCTCTGAGAGACTACTTTTCAGTTTTTTTCAGAGTGAATTGTTTTTGTTCCATTAATTGATTTGGTCCTTTTTTTTTAGTTAGTCATTTTGAATAATCTATATTAATTTTCAGTTACTATTTTAATTATATTCAAATGTGTATTTCTAATAGCTATTTCGAAAGGCTCTAACAAAGATGTTTAGAGAGTTGGACAAGGATGTTGTTTTCATAGAAACAAGCATGCGTCTAAAGCACAAGCCTCACATGTATATAGAATGTATTCCTATTTCCACCGAGGAGGGAGACACAGCACCCATATATTTTAAGGTAATATTTCAGTATAGCTAAAGTTTATGAGCTCGTTCTAAGGTTTTTGGGCCTTTAAAAATAATAATGATAATTAGAAGTTTCAAGTTGAAATAGCAAGTGATGTAATTTTAAAAGATTAGAAAACCTCTAATAACAGTTTAAATCCAGTTGAAGAAACAGATTTTTTTTGTGTCAGGTTTTTCATTGCTAGTTTTCACTTTATACACAATAACCTTTTTTATGTGAGTTATAAATACTACATTCTTTTCCAAATAACATCAAAGGGTCAGAGTGTATAATCAACTCTGCAAAATCTTGTAGGCCATCATCAGTTACTTTGAAAACACTAGTATGTTCAGGGGTACTGTGGCAGACATTTAAGCCCCTAATTTGTTATGTAATGATTTAATAGTCTTGCATGAGGTATCTGTTTATCTTTGACATAGTTTATATCAGGTGTAATTCTTTTCCCTATTAATTAAAACAACTGTTGAATTCTTGTTGTTATTTTTTACATATATCTGTCTTGTAGTTTGTTAAATAAGTGGTAAACCACTTTAGTAACTTTATTCCTAAATGTAGCAGCTAAATAATTACTAGTTTATTATTGTAAGAAGCTATTAGTTGGGAAAGGTCTTGTGATTAAATTAGTTGTTAAATGTTTGTTCATGTGAACCCCATTAAAATATGTAAGTAATAATTATTTTCAATGAAATAATATCTGGAGCTCTGGTTGCATAAAACAAGTTAAACAAGCTACAGAAACAAAAGTTAACAAACACCATAAAAGTTTGATTTAGTTGAAGTTTAACTGCATAGAAAAAATGTTCCTTTAAAATTGACCATAATTTGATTATAAACAAGATTACGACACTTATGATAAACAACATTGTTTCTTGACAAAAAGGGGACATGCAAGTAGGACAGTTAAAGTAATTAATGGTGCAGTGCCAATACACATAATACAAAAGTTCATAAATAGGTGTAAACTTTAACCAGATTTTTTTACCCTCAAAAGTTTGAGACATATTTTTTACCCATAGAATGTGTTTTTATGGTCAGTAATTTGTATCCTTTTTTGTCCATCACATTTTTGTGGTTTAATGTCATATTTTACAAAAACCTTATAATGTTTTATTTTATCTTATATAGGGTAATTTTGGCCATATATCCCAAAAAACACATCAGAACTGTGCTAATTCCAGAGCTTTATGGTTTATTGCCATTTTCTTTTGTTCATGGTCATTGGTAATATCTTATTTTTCAATATACTATTGCATGTTGAACAATAAGGAATACAGCCTACAGGCCCCATCTGCCCTTTCCAGTGTAGATGTTCGGCTGTAAATCATAAAGCAATCTAGTGAAGAGTATCAAAGTATAGTGTGAATTATTAATAAGGTAAAAGCCTATAGTTAACATAATACTATTGCATAAAAATGATGAAAATAGATGTAAATTGTGTGATAGCATGTAACAATGAGGAAAATAAGTGTAGGTTGTGGAATAACATAGTACATAGGGTTCAAGTTGAGATTGCAAATTCTCAAAGAAAGGACTCTGTTCAATGAAATACAAGTGAATAATTACTTACAAGTTTAAATTCAATACACAATATTGATTTGAGTGTTCTTACAGAATTTTTACAAAACAAAATTAAATGTTGTTAGAATAAAACTCAGTATTTTATGCATATTGAAGGTTATGGTGAGAAAGTAATACATTAAAGACATTTCATTGTTATTGTTACATATTTTGAAATATGCAAAGGTTAATGTATTATAATTTCTTTTTGGGTGCAGTAAGATTAATATTAGTTTTGTGAGAAGAATAAATATATATGAGTATTGCATGCAGTACAAATGGAACATTCAAAATCAAAAAAGGTTTCAGTTGAGATACTTTATTGTCCAGTAGTAATAAATTCTAATTAATGTAGGTGTAGTTACTGTACTACATGTTTCTTTATTATTTTTGGTTTTGGAACAGTATTTCGTATTTAATTTATATTTTGACTAAAAATTACATAACATTCTTTTCATGTGTTTCTATTAAAATTTGTTGTATAGTTTGAGTATAATTGTTTTCATTTGTGTGATACTCTATAATTTTAGAAAGCTATACTAGAATGTGAGACTGAGTGGTCACAGAATAAAAAATTAGTGGATCTCTCCAAAAAGGATATCAGACATTCTGTAAGTTGACTTTGTTTCTTTATTAACTCTTATTACCTTTTACAAAAAGTATGTAGTAGCAGTAAAACTATGAGTTAGTTGCACTCATTAAGAAGATTCTTCCAGGGTCTCTTGCTGCTCTTAGAATTATTTCATTCATCATTCTGATGGCCAAGATTATTCATTGCTGTCTAACACACGGTGTCTATTCTTACAAGCTTCTTTAAAAGGTGGTGAGGTTAATCTTAAAACATACATCTCAACAAATTTTCCACAGATCTTCCACTCTATCAGGATGTAAGTTTCCAAGGCCATGCTTAAGTAAATCGAAGGCATAAAAATCTAGTGCAGCTACATTGAGGGATTTGACAGGTGTAGAGCTGGATAATTAGTGATATTTGCTAATCGATTTGTCAGTTAGTAGTGTTGTACCTACAAGCAAAAAAAATTTTGATGATGGATGCTGCCAACCATTTGCCTACCTTCTAGACAGCAATTCATCAACAACAACAGGTACTGTCAGCCATAACAGAGACAAGTTTTGTGGCAATATTTCAAATATTGGATAGTTGAAATAGTAGTAATTGAAAAAACCTAATGTTGATTACCTTATTATTTTCATGACATTTGATTTAATCGTACTTTCGGTGAATCATGACAGTCTTTATAATTGAAACTTCATTAATCATTTTGTTTACGTGACTGATTGATGGTATTAATTAATTTATTAAATTGCCCAGCTCTGTTAACAGGTATGTGGTTGGTTGGGATTGCCATGGTCCCAGTTTCTTCAACCATTTTTCTCATGCAAAAACAGCTGATGATTTCCAGGTGTGACTGGAAGCTTGTGAACATTTGGTTTATGGGCCATAATCAACTTTAAATATTTATCTTGTTCACTGTATTAAGAGATACACCAAGCTTCATTGCAGTGGCTTTTTATTTTTGGGTTGGAAGGTTCTCTTTTGTAACCATAACCTATGCTTTGTAGATGAGGATATTTTTCTGATTAACTTGAAGTGTGGTTTCAGAACATAGTGCTATTTTATCTATTCTGACTGACAAATTTTCTGTTTTCATGAAGAATTTTGAAGGCTCTATATTATTTAACATTCAAGTTATATAAGTATCCTTCCTTGGAAAGGGCTGTGACATGTTGTTCCAGCAACAAGTTTAACATGATTGTCTTACAATGTCAAATGGTTGGACGTATGCCACGAACCAAATATATAGTGCTAAACATGTTGTCCATGGCCCAACACCTCATGTCTGTGATCACATAAATCCTGCAGTAGCATGTACATATTGCTCTTGCTCTTATAAAGTGCAATTAATTTATATCATTGTGTATTTAATATTTTTGTTTAGCAGTAAGTGATACCCATGAATTCATCCTTGATTTTATGGGTTTATATAGAACATTTGACACTAGTAAAAAAGGAAAAAATCCAAAACATATATCTAAGTTATTTGATTGGGCCAATGAACTTACTATCTTCAGATGATATTTTATGAAAATTGCTTGATATTCAACAAAAAAAAAAGCCCAAACTTTCCATTAAAAGAGCAACGGTAACTTTTTGTGAGGTGTTATTTCTTATATTTCATGTATATATATATTTTTCATTAAACAAGTATTTTCTGAAGTTTCTCTTCTTTGAGTAAAAGTCAGAGTGGCCAACCAGGGCAGTTAAATAATAAAAGCTCCTTATTTATCACAATAACTTGAATTTTGCACAAACTAGGTATTACTTGCAGGAGTTTACCAGAATTGGAGCTACTTTTAAATAAATAATAAAACTTAATTACATAGTTTTGTGCACAATATTATTTTATCACAATAACTTGAATTTTGTACAAACTAGGTATTACTTGCAGGAGTTTACCAGAATTGGAGCTACTTTTAAATAAATAATAAAACTTAATTACATAGTTTTGTGCACAATATTATTTTATCACAATAACTTGAATTTTGCACAAACTAGGTATTACTTGCAGGAGTTTACCAGAATTGGAGCTACTTTTAAATAAATAATAAAACTTAATTACATAGTTTTGTGCACAACAAGGAAGGAAGGGTAAACTGTTTAATGAACAATTGAGTTGTTTCAACATTGTATTCTGTTCTTTAAAAACCATTATCATAATCAAAATTTTAGTTAATATGTCTCAACTATGCATATGTTCAAAATTTTTGTATCCTCAAATTTCATTATGTAAGTGAGTATGATACAGCATTCATTCCTTTTATTTGTAGGTTCCAAAAGGTCTCCCATACTTTAGTGTTGACTTTGGTCTTCAAGGGGGATTTGCTCATGTTATTGAAGATGAGCGTCTGTTTCCCTTCTACTTTGGCAAGGTTAGGTATTTTCCTCTTCAGATAATGTTAATTTTACCAAAATGTGTTTGGTGTGTAAATTATCTATAGTTAATTGATGTTGATGACAGTTTGTAAGTATCATCAAATGATAATTTTGATGTGTAAAAAGTAAAAAAAGGAACTAACAAACTTCTAATTGTTTGTGAAATTAGATGTCAAAGCATCATGGTTGTAGTAGTAGTAGTGATCATAGTAATACCATTCTTTGATTCTGCACTGACAGTTGAACTACAATAGCCAAATATTTATTAATATTAAGAGTTAGAATAAATTATTTCATATGAGAGAAATATTTGAACTTAGTATGTGTGCTTTCAAATTTATAAAGAAGTTTAAATTGTTTTAAAGCAGACTTAAATGTTGAATTTCTTTAGTTTAATTCTGGTTTTAAATTGTGTAACAGAACCATTGAAAATGATAGCCTTTTTCACATTATAAAAGAAATTATGATTAAAAAAGAGAGTACCTCAAGAGTGAAACATTTTAGAAGTATTTTTTCATTCAGTATTTATCAGAGAACTAACATTAATCTTCAAATTATAGCAGTTTTATTAAAACTGTGTAATCATGGTTCTAAAGATAGTAAGATATATAGAAGACGTTAGTTTAACCCAGTGGTTCCCAAACGCTTTTCAGTGATGACCACATTTCAAACATCCTGAATTTGCATGACCCTGTTTATTAGACAATGTATTATACCTGACCCATTCAGTTTTTTGTGTGCAAAATATGAGTTTTTTCTTTCAAAGTTACAACCCCAAGATTGAAAAACTCTGGTTTAACCAGTTTATTTTGTCAAAGGATTAGTTGATTGTGGAAATGAGCTCAGAAAAATCAGTTTTTTTTCTCTTTGATAGCCTATACTTATATATTAATGAATGAAACAAAATCTCTTTTCTGATCTACATAACAGTTTGTTTCTATTGTTATAAAACCTGCTAATACATCATCCAAAAAAATATTTAAAAACTTCAAAATGTCACCATTTGGGCCAATATCGATGTTTAACAAAGGAGCAACATGAAATTGGAACCTAGATGGAGAAGGAGAAAGTTGTCTAGGATTATCTACTTGCAACCAAACCCGAGACTGTAATAAGGCAGCAGCAACATTGTCACTGTCTAAACTAGTTTGTTCTGAGATAGTAGTCCAGAAAAGCTGTTTTCACTTTCATCCCAATCAGTGTCACTTTCAACACCTATTTCAGCAATTAAAAATGGAACAAAAATAAAGATAAAACTGATTTACAGGTTACAAACAGAAAATATTACTCTCCTACCAGAAAACAATATATTCTACTGCCTAGAGTACTGGATACATAATTCAGAATAAATCTAGCAGAGATCAGCAAAAACAGCACTTCTATTGCCATCTAGTGAGCATTGATTATAATACTTGATATCATGCAAATAATTTCAGGCAAATAATTAAAAGTATGTTGAGAAATGGTTTACTCAAATTAACTTGGGCAAATACTTTTTGAAACATGAAGGGTGCCAAAGTTATCTCGGGAAATCATGGAAGAGGTTAAGCTTTGACTACACAGTGGTGAGGACCAGAATGATAAAGCATAAATAAAATGTAAAGAAAAGTATGTTGTAGGAACAAAGTACAGAAGAAGTTTTAATGATAGACTTGATTGTTAGTATTTGTAATGCAAGAAGTATAATAAATAAAAAGATGAATTTGAGTACTATTCAGAACAGAGGATTGTGGTGTAGTAGGAATAACTGAAACCTGGTTACATGTAGAAAATTTTGATTACAGAAATTTCTTTGAAACATGGGGATATAGGCTATTTAATGGGGATGGAATACTAAAAAGAGAGGGGGGGGGAGTGGCTTTATTTGTAAAATGTGAGTTGCATTCTGTTAAAGTTGAGGATATTAAAGCTAATAGCAATGAGGTTGAATCTATTCAGGTTTCTGTTGGTGGTTATAAAGGAAAAAGGCTTTAAGTATATGAGAAACTCTGTAGCAAGACGAAGAAATCAGATGTTTAGGAATTATTTTAGTCATATAGACTGGGAAACATTAGAATCAACTCATGAGGAAGCCAGGTTTTTTTATAACTGTTCAGGACAGTTTTCTTCACTAATTGGTCAGGGAACATACTAGGAACAATGCTCAATGCTATTTTAAATTTATTGTTAACTTCTTATATAGAAATTGATGATAGGGTAGACATTGGGGAACTTCTGGGTGTGAGTGAGTGTTGTTCAATTAGATTTGATGTTTTGCTACATATAGAGCTAGGGAATAAGGAAGTTTTGGTTTCAAATTAAAAAAAAAAAAATTTGAAAAGATGAGACAGAATTATCTGTTGTGAATTTGGCAACTGAATTAATTGGAGATACTGATCAAATGTGGACAGACATGTTCCTTATAGAAAAAAAAAAGGTGGCTACAAGTAAAAAAAACCAGGTTTACTCACAAAGTGTATAAAGTTCACTTAAACTGACTGCAAAAAGATTGGCAGAAAATGTAAAAATTAACAGTAAGGATTTCTTCAAATACATTAACTGTAAGTAAAATGTTATGCTGGGAGTAAGACCTTTGTGGGATCATACAGGAAGGCTTATATTTGGGGATTACAAGATGGCTGTGTTATTAAATTCTACTTTTTTCTTCAATATTTACTATTGAAGATTCAAACAATATTCCTAATTCTGAACAGTTGCTGGATGGAAACAAGGTTGAACAAAATTATCATATTCATTTTAAGCTTGTTGAGAAAAAATTGGGAAGTGTAAAGAATCATAAAGCTCCTAGGTCAAATAATATTTCACCAAGGGTTTAGACTTTAGAAGAAGGTTACTGTGGTGGGCAGAGCACAGATAGTCTATTGTGTAGCTTTATGCTTAACTACAAACAAACAAACAGCGAAATTGAAGGAGGTTGAATATTGGATATGTGAGCCACTTGCTACTTTATTTTTTTGTAACCTTTATTGAGCAGATGCCAGAAAATTAAGTAATGTTACTCCTCTTTGTAAGGGAGATGATACAAATTGTCTCAGTAATTATAGGCCCATCAGTCTTACATAAGTGATGGGAAAAGTTTTTGAAAGTCTAATAAACAATGCTTTGGAAAGTCATTTAACATAGTTTTAATATTTTCTTGAGTACTAATTCAGCATGGTTTTACTGGGGGAAAATCTTACTTTACTAATCTTTTGACAATTTTTAAAGAGGTTACTACTTATGTAGATGAAGGTACAAATGGGGATGTGGTGTATGTGGATCTTCAGGAAGCATTTGACAAGATGCCACAAAAACTTGTTAAAAAATTATCTCTTTAGGTGTGGGAGATAGGTTGCTCATTGAACAGAAAACTGGTGGAAGAAAGCAGAAGGACTTTATAAATGGAGTTCAGTCAAACTGGATTGATATCATTAGGGCTAGTCATTGAAGTTTTGACTATACTGTTGATTACACCAAATTTATCTATTTGAGGATTGCAGTGGTGAGTGGAGCTCACAAGTTGCTAACTCGAGGAGATTTACGGTTAGACTAAAGAAACTGATTGATATTCAACACAATACATCAAGTTTCTTAACATGAAATACACTTCATAAAAGAGCAGGTTTAGGTTAGCAACCCTGATAATTATAACTCATATATAACATCAAGTTTCTTAACTTTCATATGCTTCTTTAGAATCTATCCAAATTCACATTAACTGATTAAAAGAGAAATATTTTTGTTACTTACAACACAGTTGATCTGGTAAATTGTTGCAGCTGGGACACTTTCATATTCATAGTTTCTGGATTATCAGTAACTGTGGGGAGAATCTCAATTCTTCCTGGAGAAAACTGACTTTTAGCTCCAGATACGAGTTTTTAAACCATATTTTGTTTGTATTCTTAACTACCTGTAAATAGTTCTAACACTTTATTGGTCAATCTGTGCAACTCCCTGGGCTAGTCCAAAACAAGAAACAAAACTCTGAAATAATTGGTTACTGTGATGATGAGTGCTCTGGTTGTCTTTTTACTTGTACTATTACACTGGTCTGGAGTAACAGATCTCGCATCAAAGCAATGATAGCCTTTACTGTACTACTAACTCGGCATCAGTAACTTATCACTGTCAAACTTATGACGTGTTTTTCTCAGCGTCTCTGTTGTAGCTTAATTTTTTATAACTCTTAACTCGTGATTCTCAATACCACTTAACCAGCTAGCTGTACTTTCCTAGCCCTTGACCTTATTTCATAATACAGGCATCTTTTACTTACGCCATTTCTTCATGTAAATTTAAATTTAAATAAGTATTTAAATTTGCTGATTATATTAAAGTCTTATGTATTATTGGTTGTGGAGGGTGCTACTTCCGCTTTACAAAAGGATTTGGATTATTTGATGAGTTGGGTAAATAAGTGGCAGATGGTTTTTGGTTATAATAAATGCAATGCTATATATGTTGGATATAATTTGAATTATGAGTATAATTTTGATAGAATTAAATTTAACAGTGTTATGGAAGAAAAAGATTTCCGAAACACACCTCCTCTCACACTGCCTTCAGAGGTGGTGGATGCAGTTAATATGAGGGATTTTAAAGGAAGGCTTGATAAATATTTGAATAATAAGTGCTGGGTTTGAATATTTTTACTTTGAAGCTTAGTTTAACGGGTGAGATGGCCTACATGGATCAACAACCCCTTGTTGTCCGTAAATTGTGTGTGTGTGTGTATATATATATATATATATAATCAAAATATCAATAAGATTCACCTGTGGATACGAATAAGACAAGTTTTTTTTCCTCCTTTATTAGTTTCTTCTACTGGTTTAGTGACTTTATCAGTGTATTTGCTTCTTTTCTATAAAAGGACCTACTGTAGGGAGCAGAGTCCCTTTGAATATTTTTCTATAGTCAAAATATGCTGTTTTTGTTAAAGTTCTATGTGGTATTGTTTATAATGATAACTCATTCCTCTTTGATGTAATTCAACTTTGCTTATCTTTTATATTTAGGAAATCATTGGAGGAATGTTGGATCTGGAGCCTCAGCTTTGGAGGAAGCCTAAAAAAGAAAACTTTGAAAATCAAAGGAAAAAGGTTCTTCAGTTTAGTGAATGGTGGAATAGATATGACTTTACTGAAAAAAGACAAGAATTAATTTGAATTATTAAATTATACTCATATTTTAAGGCATTCTCTGCAGTTTGTTCACTTACCAACAGAGAAAATTACTGAAAGTAATGTAGATAAGGTTTTTATTGCATATGAAAAAATTACATCATATATTGTATTAAACATTTCTCAACAACTTGTATTTACTTGAACTTTATTTTGGTGTCCTGTGACTGTGACAACTATATATACATACACTCCTACCAACTACACCCAACCTAAGTAATTTCACTAGTATAATATATATATATATATATATATATATATATAAAGAGTGAAACATATTATACCAAACCTGCTTCTCAAGAATTTATTGTACCTATTCCATGCATATTAAGTTGTGCCTCAGAAGAATCAGTCATAGCAAAGGTTGTACACAAACATAGTTTAACATGAAACTGTGGTACAGAAAATGTCATTGAAATGCTTGGACTGTCACCAAGTTGTATGGTGAATGATTCCATTAGGAATTTCATCCTCCACCCTGGACAACCACAGGGGGGAGATGAGAAACATAATTCTTTTTCTAAACTTATAGCTGAAAAAAGTTAAATGAGAGAAGAGATGTAGGTGCTAATGAATTTCCATGGTCAGCTCCCAAGTAACATTTGATCTATATCAGTTATTGGTGTGGGTATTCTCGTCTCCTCCCTCCTATTATCTAGACCTTGTTGGTTCAACAAACAGATGGTAGTGGAGGTAATGTAGGGTTACAGGCTTGCTGTGTACCTTCATCACACCTGTGACAAGCTTGGAGAGCATAGCTGAGGTTTAGGTCAAGTTTGAGATCAAAGGATGTCTGTCAACTGCAAACCGTAAGTAGTAGGGATCATGTTCTACAGGCAGGTTAAGCATGAGCACACATAAGCCTGTAGACATAAGCTTGTGACCACAAGTTTAGTTTTGATGTTTTTAGACATTGTTATGACAGTTATTCCAAGATGAAGTACTTTGATAACCAAGAAAAAGAAAATATAATTTTAACTCACTATCTTTACAAAGTTTTTTTACTTGCCAGACAATAACTTTTTCTGTTTAAGTTCGATTTTTAACCCTTCTTCCATCTTCACACTTACGTCTTTGAGTATTATGTAACATAAGTAGATTTTAGCATACTTTTTGAAGATAAAGTTTGGTATACTGCAAAAATATAAGTTCTTAGCTAGAATATCATTTTAAATGTTTAATTTTAAGGTTCTAAAAGCTTTTAGAGTTCATGTTCAGTTTTAGATGTACCACTTGCCTTAAGCATACGCAATGTTAAACTTAACATTGGATTGTCACAGACGCTGGCTTTTGAGGAATTAGTTTTCTTGGCTTGACTAAAAGTTAAACATTTGAGTAAATCCTTAATAAAATTTAAACTTAATTTGAATTTTATTTTACTTTGTTCATTCCATTTACAGTTAACTTCTTAGAGTTATTTTCGTCATTTAGTTTTCTTTGAATTTAACTTATAGGGAGGGGGGTATATTTGAACTGGTAAGAGAATCTAATAAATATTTCTCATAAATCTCTTATCTGGTCAACACACATCCACGAGAAACGTTTGCACTTTTATTGTATTGTGTTTTTGTTACGATAAAACTTTTGTAACCTATGTATTTGTTTTCTATATCTCTCTCTTTTTAACATGACAAACTCGGTTCCAGTTCACTGAAAATCACCCTTTGTAGATTGTTATCCTTGAGTCTTCAGTTAGCGGACCATAACTGACTACTCTGAATTAAACCCGCAAATAATAAAATACCAGGTAATTTTGACTTGGGAGAGTCTGGTGTGTTGTCAATCTTTTTTCCCTCCATAACGTAGTTATAACTGAATATATATGTACAAAACTTTTAATTTAAATTTAAGCAACTGATCGTGATTGGGGACAAGGAAAAATGAATATCCATGACAGAAGCTATGTGAGAATTTACCAGATTAAGAAAAAATATAACGGAAGATAGCCTAGGAAATAGTAATCAGTGTAGTTTGCAAGGCAGCGTGTTAAATTTAGGTAAACAATTTTGGAGTGAATGAAATCTTTGGTACATTTGTTCAAAAGTTGTTGAAGTGTTGAATGAAATTCCTCAGGAGGCGTTTATAAATAGGAAAAAAGACGGAGTTTCTGCTGTCATCGTTACTTTCGGTTTCAACAGTAACTTGTACTTGATGGTCGGACGTAGAAACCAAGGTCTTAGTTTGAATAAAAAGCTTAGAAACTGGAGTTTGGGTTTGTTGGTCATAAGTATAAGTTGTGATTTGATCCATCTATATTTCAAGTGTAAGTTGACTTCTTGGCGGGGTAATATAAACTTGCTGTGGAGTAAACGGTGTAATTTTGGAATGCTCGTTAGAATTTTAGCATAAGGTTTTTCTGCATTAAATGAAACTATTCAAAGAAACAGCCAGAAGCAGATGAGAATTTACTACAACCTTAACGACGTTTAGCGAGATGTTATATGATATATACCATGAATATGGGATCATAAGTCGACCTCAAATTCTTAATGTCCTGAACTGTAATGGTGAAATCAAAGTTGCGCAGAAAAATGCTAGTGATACTGGAGCTGAGGGCGGGGGGATGACAGATAACACTAAATTTCAAAGAATTCCAAGGAAAACAGAGGTACATGAAATCTTCAAGTGTAAGTAATTGAACAAAAATATCAACTCTCATTTTTTGCCACTTGAAAGTGGCCAAGCGGCAAGTCTGAGGTCCTATAATGCTAAAAATCGGGTTTTGATGCCTATGATGGGCAAAGCACAGATAGTCCATTCTGTAGTTTTGCGCTTAACAACAGACAAACAAAATCGACGGGAAGATTTACTGCAGATTTATGGGTTTTTATAAAGTCACAGATTTATCGGAGAGTGTAGGAAATCGGTAGAATATGAGTAATGCCTGGGGATGTCATATCGTTATCTTTAGTGTAAAAGGCGCGGAATATTCTTCTGTGACGTCCACCGAGACAGGGTGATGAATTAATTAACTCATGTCTGCATAAATTGAGGCTCAAACTACTTTCTTCAAATGTTGAATCAAATCTACCTCTCAAAAGCGCTGAAACTGATAATAATCAATCAGAAAACAAGTACCAAAACATGGAAATACTTCTGCTCCATGCGACAACAGAAATTGAAGTAGAATACCATGTAACTATTCTATGAAACGGTAAATAAGTTCCTTGAGCTCACAGTTTAGGTTAACACCTAATACAGAACTTGCTATGTGACCGCAACCAGATTTAGGATGTTCCAGATCAGAACTTAAAAATTTACCAATAATTTTGTGAGTATGAAATATATACTATGGGAAAATGAGATGTGTAGTATTTGGATACTGTAACCCTCTTATTGTATTATCATCTTAAAGACGACTTTAATGCCAATTTAAAAGCTAAAACGCAATCTCCTGAAATCGGTTTAAAATTATAACCTTTATGAAACTAGACTCACAACAAAGGTAACGCACCATATAGACCTCTTATACACGATACTTTAAAGAATATCAGATGTCCTCTCTGTCACAAATTGCTAGTTAATCGGGTAAAGAATAATAAAAAACTGATTAAAAATCATAATTATATAATTAGGATAAAATAACCATTTAAATATACAATACAAAAGTTAAAACACATGAAACATATAAAAATAGTATACATACATACTAGAAGATGGATCCCTTATTTAAACTGCGATGATATATACATCACTATACAAGACTAAATATATAAATACCAGATAAACCCTTTTATAAAATACAGCGAATAAAACAATTACATAAACACGAAGTGGGAGGGATATATAAAAAGGTGTGAAACACAAAAGGTATGGGGCTCTTAGCTGTTTACTACCTTTAGAAACAAACAAAAACGACAAAAAAATCATTAAATAAAATGAGGAAAGTGAAAATAGTTATACTAGATGACACAATACAATGGTAACATTAAAGGAAGGCAATACATCAAAATTCAGGAAGTGAAATTAACACACAAGTAATTAAACATCCTTTTTAAAATGCATATTGTAACAAGAAATCTTTAACACTTAGTAAAAAAATGAAAAACCATTTAAGAATTAAATATTGTTACGACAGCGGAAGTCACGCGACGCTAGGAGCATGCGCGCTGGAGTTTCTAGAAGGATCATTAATTTTTCCTGGCAACTCTAGTTTGTCCCAGACGGCCTCTTTTTTTAGTATAAAAACCTAGCAAAAAGGAGATAGAATTGCATAGACATGCAGATAGATTGAAGATAGAGATAACTGAGTCAAGCGACCAATAGG